AAAATGGGCAAAAATAAATAAATAGTAATAGTCAGAAGAAAAAGATAAATGGCCCATAAGTCACAGTAATCAGGAGGTCTTGCAATGCTTGACAGTACCTGCTTATCCTGCGCAAGAGTTCACCACTATTACCCTAGATTCAAACTCAGAAAGTTGAGCTCCAGAGCTTGCTCTCAACAACGATACCCCACTGTATCCTACAAATCAACAGTGTTGAAATATAGCACGAACACGTGCATTGCCCCTTTCTGCTGAAGCAACTGAACTCACATTTAGAAGAGTTTTAGTTCATCCCAAATGTGTGACTTTGAGGTGGTTAGAAACAAGATTAATTTTTATAGGCAGAAATCAAAAACAACTGGCAGTGAGCCCAGTATGGACAGTCAATTAAAATTGACAGCTCCAACAGTTAATTATGAGAGTCTCTTAGAAACACCATAGTGTTAGAGATTAAAGTCCATTTATAAAAGTGCTTAACGCTGGATGCTATAATTATCCCCTAAGACAATGATACCTTGTAGCCTTGGTCTTCCATTTGTTTAGTTGTTCAGTGATCGACTTACACTATGCACGTTGCTGACACAGCTCTGCAGAGGATCTGTAGTCATTCACCTTTACATTTAGACCATCTACTGACATTTCTAAATCAGTTATGCCAAGAGCTTCTTAGAAGACATGCATACACACAACCAGGCAGCAGCATAGCAAAACAGAAAGTTCACTGACTGGGGATTCCAGACACATTGGTTTTGAGACCTAGCTCTGCCAACATCCAGTTACTTTTCTGGAATGATTAACCTAATCTCTTTGAATCTCAGCTTTCTTGTCTATAAAATGGGAGTGAAGGTAGGGCAAATGAAACCATGAAAAGCCAGGGAATCTGAAAAGCTTGAGGTGGGGTAAAACTGGGGATATGTTTCAGGTAGCCCAGCTCAGATTCTTAATGCTAACTGCCCATTAGGGTTACTTGAGGAAGTTTTTTAGTTACCCCACATTTGAGATTCTGTTTATTGGTCTAGGGAGGGGTTCAAGCATTCACATGCTAATGCTAT